CCACGGGCCGATTGCCCGCAGAAGTGTTATTCGGCACATGTATGAGCACTGAGATGCACCCCTTGCTAAATGAAATTAGAGTTGAAACGCAAGAAACCAATGATTTGACTAAAATTCGTGAGGAAGTTAAAAACAAGATTGACGTTGAACAAAAGAGACAAAAGAAATATTATGATAAAAATAGGCGTCCTGCTCGCACATACTCGGAGGGAGAACTAGTTAGAATTACTAAAACATGTTTTAGTAATGATGGTAAAAGTAAGAAGCTTCTTCCTTCATACATAGGACCCTATCGAGTAGTGAACATTTTGGGTAATGACCGATACAGAGTAGCTGCTGTACCTGGGCTGACGGGCACAAAGAATAAACGCAAAACAACTGTCGCTGCTGATCGCATGTTGCCATGGGTTCATGTATCCGCTCTAGAAATTGACGAATCCGATTCCAATGAGGAAAGTGATAGTTTATGTGATGAATAAGAATATGATACTTTATTGAACCAAATTATTCATTTATATCTCTACACTATTTATATTGATTTACATATTATTTGCAATTTCCTTAAATTAGTCATTTTACATTAGTTGCTTTAAATTTAATTATATAAGGTTTTACGTAGACTATTTATTAATTGATTAATTATATTTTAGATTTTCACCTCTTCCACAGCCTGTAACATAAATTTTGAATTTATTAATGCAATAGGCGATATTGCCCAGTAAGGAGTATACTTTCGTTATTGTTATTATTTACGTAATTTCATCAAATCAAATTAAGTTACTTATATCGCAAGGTTATATACTTTAAAACTGTTTTCGTTCGATTTAAATCTAGTTTTATGTACATTAAATCTAACAGTATATGAATACATACGCGAAATAGGAGGATCGTGATACTATAAGTGCATGGATAATTGTAAGTAGATAGCGAGAATGGATGGGTTCGCATCTACACCTTTTTTGTAAGTTGCCGAGAATTGATGGGTTCGTGCAACTATATGGATTTACTGTTTTCATAAGAATGGATGGGTTTATGAAAAACTTATTTGCAGTCCATGTAATGATATACATTTTATGTCTCATAATAGCTTGATGTATAGTACTGACATATTTCTCATGATATGGAAACCGGTTATGAATAATTGTAAGTGGATAGCGAGAATGGATGGGTTCGCATCTACACTTATGTTGGAAATTACGCGAGAATTGATGGGTTCGCTTAATTACGTACACCTACAGGTTACAATTTTCATAAGAATGGATGGGCTTATGAAAAACTTTGAAATTGTGTAAAAATACTTACGTTCCGTAATTACTTGATTTGTAGTATTTATTTATATTTTTCATTATATAGTTACTGATTAGCAATGATTGTAAATCGCGCGAAAATTGACGGGTTCACACAACCATAGGAGTATTGTTGTTGTTTTTGACAAGGGATGTGTCTATGTAAAACAAACGTTTTAGTTTGACGGTTGTAATGTAATAATACTTTGGAATATAATAGTGATTACATTTGTATGAGTAAATTTAGATTTTTCATGTAATGATTACTTATTTCTAGTTGGTATAAGAAAATTGTTAACCTTTTGCAGTGGAATACGCCGAGTGTTAGGTTCATACTGTGTTCGTACATGAGGACATGCACGAGATCAGGATGGACGAGTGTTAGGTTGCAGTTATTTTGCACGATTTAAAATTATAAGTTTGCAACACTGGCGAATGTCACTGGAAAAAGAAAGGATAGGACGGAGGCATTGTGTGACGAGACGAGAGGCGAGAAGGTTTGTAAGGAAAAGGAAGGAATAAAAGTGATCGATAGTAAACGTAAGGAGTTTTATTATAATTACATATCGTACCACTGGTAGGGATTCCTACGCGTTTGTTCAGCAAGTTGAGGAAGCTAGACTTCGACGTGTTTAAACTTTTTCTTATGAACCTAACGAGCCTGTAAAGAAACCAACCCTATTGCGTTTTTAGGTATTTAACTTTTGTAACTATGATGAATAATGGGGTGGTCGTAACTGGTTGATGACTTCATCTCAGTCTGCCGTGACCATGAAAACTGTAAGGACCCGAATAATTTCTTTGTTTGATTGAAAAAAAAAACAAATATACGAATTTACAACGAACTCTAGTTACTGCATTTATGTGTATTTAAGAGAATCTACCAGATACTAGATCATTTAACACCACAGTGGTCCAATGGTTTTCATAATGGGCGCTGGATGACGAGGTCTTGGGTTCGATTCCCAGTAGGATCAATTTGGGAAAACATCTTAATTGTTTCTGGGTGTTCCGGGAGCGTCCTGGTGTTGCTCTGGTACTCATAGTCAATGTTGGGTAACTTCCCGTAAAATGTCAAATAGCGGAATTTTTTTCGGAATAAATCCCGAAATTAGAGAAATTATAACGTATACTACACGTGTTCTATTTAGATCAGTTGATATAAAACAATAATCATTGGTATAATTTAAAGTGCTTATTGAATACAGCGATTGTCTTGTAAAATTTCGAGGTCAGTTGTTTTTTTCTATAGTGAAAATTTTAGGAATCGTGTTTTCATACCGTATACTAATCAGTGAATATCCTCAATTTTACTATATATTTTTTCCAAATAATTGATTCAATACTTTCACTGTCATGCGGAATTATCAAAGCCATTTGAGGTTGTATTGACTCTTACGGCGCGCTGAGCGCCCGCTTGCGACGCCTCCAAAAAGTCGACGTCTCTCACGGCGTAAGCAAAGTAAACGGACGGGTATTGCTCCCCAACAACATTTCTTTGCACCCGACTTTCCGATCACTAGAAAACATAACATGTACTCCATTTTGATCGCGTGCCTACTAGAGGGCACTAGGTTGTTGCTGCACCCGGACGCTACATGGGCGAAAGCGCTGCTAATAGCAGAGCTTTGGGAATCTAAGTAACTAATAGATATATTACCTTGTGAAAGAGTTCGTCCTGGGTAGTTCTGCCATATTACCTATTTCTGCCGCCAAGTAGTAATGTCAGCATTACTGTGTTCCGGTTTTGAAGGGTAAGGGTGCTGGTGAAATTATAGGCACATGGGACTTGACAAGTTTTGTCTCAGGGTGACGGGCGCAGCAGTTGTACCCCTCAGATCTTTGCAATTTAAAGCTCTGAGGCGTGTAGCTTACCAAAAGGCGCACGACTTGTTCGTCCCGTCACTTGATATTATAAAAAAAGCCTATAAAATGTCATCGGCCGAACTAGTAAAAAATATCTATCTACACACATATAGCAACCAATTTGTTCTATATGTTCAGTGTGCTATAAATACTTGCAACAATTTTCCACAACACGAGAGAATTCCCATAAAACTCTCATTTACTTGTCCTCATTCTATTGCATCACAAGATATAAAATCTTATTTTGTTGTTGAGAGCTGTAATGGAGTTATAAAACGTTGAGACTGTCACACGATTCGTGATTCATGTTCCCAAAAAAAAACCGACTATTATCATAGAATTCTCGATGAGGGTCGAATGAAGACCTTGTTGTTGTTGTTGTGTTATTTATATCAACGATCGTTTTATGACTGAATAGGTCTGAAGATCAAAAAACTTATTTAAAAATAATAATAATATGGAAGGAACAGGGAGTTTAGTTTCAAGATCAATGGCAAGGGCACGGAATGATTAAATAAACACGATCGCGGAAAATATATACACCTAGCCAGATAAATATTGCTGTTTGGTTCAGGATAACTGCTTCGTAATATAAAGGAGACTTTATACAAACTGCCTTCGCGGTCGAACGGTTACCATACTGGTCTGCCACACAGAGGGCCCAGGTTCGATTCCCGGACCGGGAGAAATATTTGTATAGCCTGCATTTGTTTCTCTCGTGAGATTGGGTATGATTTGTGGTTGTCTATAGGTATATGTGTATATAGCACCCGCGACATAGGGTTTACCTAGTGCGGGGCTATGAGTATGTGCGTTATTTATATTTATTTGTTTATTATGCACATTTTATACATTGTCTCACGTTCCGTAAGATAAATTATTTTGAAGCAACATAAAAATAAAGCTTTCACAGCCCAAGTCAAAGAATATTAGGAACAAGACTGAAAGCAAGCAAACAAATTTTCAAAATTTTTATTTAAAAATAAATTATCGTAGTAAAACTTGCACCAATAACAACAAAATTTTGGTTTGAAAAACTTGAAACCGTAACGCGCTCAAAGCTTGAATCTTAAAATAGGTTGCTTAGAAAATACAAAATTATAAACTACGCGGTGCGATACTTTGACCTAGGTATTAATTATCGGTTGATACGCTGGACAACTTTCGTGGGTTGAGTAAACGTCTAACTCTTAAAATCAACCAACAGTCAATTTTTACAGTTGCTGTATTGTCAAACAATTGACTTCTCAAGACAATCTTCAAATCCTATACTTATCCAGTATTCTCATACTACAAAAGCTGCCCAATGTCACATGTCATATACTCACAATTCATACATTAACATAAAACTGAGATTCACTCTCATACTATTAAATTGCATAACTCAATTCCACACACGCTAAAGTTAACAAAAACACAAACTTACTTTCTCTGTAAACACTTAGGCTTAATGAAAATTGCTTTATTGAGTCCAAATAAAGCGGGTTATTCACCATTCAACGTGTTATCCGATATTTCCGCACCTTCGAATAAGTGCATGTACGTCTCAACATTTAGGAACACCATTCAATCCTCTTAACAGTTACAAACAGGTTTGACAAAATTCGAGCAGTCTATAAAGACACGATATATTCAAACTAAATTGCAAACGTTTAAATGATACTTCACTTACTTTGACATAGGAGCTTTTAAAACCGTGGACCTTACCATGAGAACTGAAATCTAATAGAGACTTATTAAAAAAAATAAGGTGTTCTTATATCTGTAGGGTTAGCACGGTAGGGCGCGACATGCACAAGCGCGACACAGAAGTGCGAGATATTGCTATTTTATCGCGCTTTATATCGCTCTCGAGCAAGTCGCGCCCTACCATGTTATCCCTACTGGTCACTTTAATTTTCATAAACATTTATACAAAGTTACGACAACTGAAATTCACTTACTGTAGGTACACGTATTCCATGCATAATTCTATTTTCCTCTTGAAACATTTTATGTACCTATGTAAAAGGCACGGCGTACACTTTTATGAGTATTTACTAATTATTTTAACTTAGCCACAAATAGTATGTGTTCTAATTCTATAGTTATGTAGTTCATAAACTAAGTTTGTCAGAGCTGTGTGTAAAGGTCCTAAGGTGTGTCAATGCTATATATTATGTAGGAAGCAGCAATTTCCCTGTTCAGATGAAGGCGTATTATGCAATGAAAACATGGACGCAATGAACAAAAATCTGTTAAATCCTCTTATTATCGACCAATCCTCTGTGAATATCTGCCTTACTCCACCAGTAACAACGTATCGATTTTTATCGAAAGTTAACATTTGCTAAGTCGAGTGTGCAATAAATCGACCAATATCAAATTATAAATTCACAACGTGAGACTCTGGTGCTGAATTAATTAAAATTTATTTTGCTAGGACCGCCTCGACTTCTACTCTAACTTTTTGATCCTACTTGAAAATTGCTTAAATGACCTAAATTGTATTTATTGATCTTAAAATCTTCACCCATCATGGACATTACGATTGCGACGAGTTGATGTTTAATTAAGTACCTAAAGACTTTTTGCAATGAGTGCCAAAGTGCGAATTCCAAAATTAATTGACTGTACAAGAAACGTCGTTTTTTATCACACTTGTGTGAAAGTTATTCATTTATTTCTAAGCTTCACTATAATATTATACATTTTTAAAATTGAAAATTATAAGGTTACTATTACAATAGTATATTAAGACAAGTATGGTAACTCCATACAAAACAGCAGCGCGGCTTGTATGTGTGCACGCCCATCGCGCCGTGTACGGACGTACACATTCACATAATAATGAAAGGCGCTTGTGACGACCAGTGCTTTCCAGCGAAATTATGCAAATGTGTGCATCCGTACACGGCACGCGGCGGGCACACACACATACAAATTTGTCTTATTATACTACGCTATTTACTGCGACTAAAAGCGGTTTGAATATTATATCAAGTTAATTTTATTCTGTACATGTAAATATTGCATTAGTGAAGTGAAAAGTGACTAAATGATATGACACATTTAACTGTAATAGGTAAGACCCGTAGAAATTAAGTTGAGACGTCGCTCAAATAAAGCGTGGCGTATACACGTATGGTTTCACTGTTTCACGAGGTTCCACAATTTTCGAAACACGTCCGAGCGAGATGTCAAAAACTTCTGCAGGTTGTAATTTATAAAAAAATGGTGAAGTCACACAGCACAATCCTAAATTCAACTGAACCGCTCTGACAAAATGTACAGGATAGCTTGATATAAACTTTATTTATATTTGTTATAACGTTCCAGTTTGTGTCAATAATTATCAAGCTGTGTTTGATCTACAATTGCTGTTGTATGTCATACAAAATTTCCCTATAGCTATTTATTTTAAAGCCATTTATTTTAACGTTATTCGAGATGTTTGTACATGTCCTCTATCTGGGGTTTGAAGTAGTTTCGTATCTCGGGCCGCTTTGCCTTCATTGTCGGCGTCAGTAGGCCGTTCTGAACAGAGAACGGATCCGGATGTAGGTAAATATCCTTCACCTGGGAAAACAGATTGCTCAGTTAAAATCATGCATACTTACGAAATAAAAATTCAATTCGGAAAGTTTGAGTTTGCATAAAATTACGTAACTTTACATACATACATATCATCATACCTGTCTCCCATCCCATATCATATATGCCCTTTTCTTCTTGGTACTTTAAGCTCGGTCTTTTTAAGCATATCCTCAATCTGATCGTGATATGTACGCCGAGGTCTGCCTCTCCTCACTCTTCCATCCACATTCGCTCAATAAATTTGTGCTGTCAATCTACAAACATTCATTCTTTCTACATGATCAAACCATCGAAGCATCCTCTTTCTATCCTGGTCACTACATCATCTTTCATAAAACAACGCTCTCTTTCTACTCTATTCAGCAATCAGTCTCTACGACTAATAACGGGCTTATTGCGCAAAGCTCTCTTTCTACAACATTCACCTTACTTTCATGTTTTTTTGCCATACCCACCACTCAGCCACGTGCCACAGCAGTGCTTCTACAAGCGCCTAATTCGAAGGCGCCCTCACTATCATACATTAGAGTTGGGACGAATTATACTATAATTAAGAAGATGACGTATCTGCGATTATGTAACCATGTCAAAATCTGTGGCATTATTTTAGCATCTGTTGTAACTTTAAAAAACTTTATCCCGCCTATCTTACCTGTTCAAAAGTCTTAAGTCCAGCTTGTTTGCCCCACTGCAACATGTCGTCCAAGATGACCTTCTTGACTTGTTCATTCTCGCAAAGCTGCGAGAAGGTCCCCTTGATGCCGTTCTCCAGCGCCCAGCACTTCACGACGTCCACGTCTGGCACCACTACTGCTACCACACACGACTGAAATATTCAGGGTCAAATTTAGAAATGCTACTGTGGAACTATTAGACAAATTACAAATTGTAATTAATATCATTATTCTCTTTCTATTCGTCTTGCGTCTATTTTTTTGTCTTAATTATATCTTACATGAAACGTTATTATAAAATAGAGAGACAATGCGAACCAGTGGTTAGTAACTTAATGTAAGCTGACTGTAAAAATATGAACAAATATGAACTGTTTCTTAATTTTCTTTAGTCACAAAATAATTGAAAACTTCTTGGGGATATATTTCACGATTCAAAAATCTTTAGGGAGAAAGAATGAAAGAGAGTGCTTCAACAGAGTCTTCTTGGGAAAGAGTTCCGAGATGGTCTCCAAATTCCAGTAGAATATCGCACCAGAAAAAGATGAAATATAAAAAAATATCTTACCTTCAGTGATTGGCCGTGCACGAAGACTTGCTCAACATACTGACTCCTTATGTAAATGTTTTCTATTTTTTCAGGAACTATGTATTCACCTTGCGACAGTTTAAAGATGTGTTTTCTTCTGTCAATAATTTTTAGGGTGCCATTCTGAAAGTATAATTACGCACTTAATATATTATCTCTTCCAGAAACGACCAACTGAAAATTGACACTCAATATGTCCTGTACCTTATCTAAAACGCATTGTTAACTTTACAAAACCTGCAGCTGAAAGTTCAATTGAACCAACGATTCCTTATCAGTTCATGGTTCACGTTTTACCATTTGATAAAATTACAAGCACATGGCACTTCTCAACTTATGTTTCAGGGTGACGGGCGCAGTGGCAGTGGCCCTGAGATCTCTGCGATTTAAAGATCAGAGTAGCGCTGCAACCGAGGAGAGTGGAACAAAAAGACAAGACACATTTTACTTGTACTTCTTTTTTAATGCCAAACAGTAATTCTTGTAAGTACGTTTCTGTGAATAATTTATTCAATCTAAACAACAACCGCTAAATTCTCCTTTAAAATAGGTACGTTGCAAATGCACGGATCTGAACACAATGCGACAAGTCCATTCAATCATCAGAAAAACTTATCACCAGACGCACGACTTATTCGTCCCAAGCGATCTTGGCGATCTACCAAGCGATCTTGGTATCATAAAAAAACTACTCACCGGTAGCCATTTGCCAATATCTCCGGTATGGTGCCAGCCGTCCTGGTCTATGACTTCCTTGGTCTTCTCAGGCTCCTTGAAGTAGCCCTTGAAGACATTGGCCCCCTGCACGCATACCTCGCCGTGACCCTGCGCCGCGTAGTATTCCATTTCGGGCACGTCCACAAGCTGGAAAAAGCCGCGAAATTGGACAAGTAACTTTTGATACACTAACAAAGACTAAGAAATAAAACTAATAGTATTAGTATAAACGATATATATATCGTTTCATTGCCTAATGACATATTTATATGACTGGTGCCACGTAACATTTGTAAACAACTGACATCCATAAAATGTACGTTCAGCTGAAAACCTATGGTAGTACTAATTTCATCATCTTTTATTATGCGCACAGCACAGGAATGGAATTCCCTGTATGCGACTATTCTTCCGAGCACATACAACGCGAGCATCTTTAAGGTGCGATTAAATATGCATCTTCTAGGCTAACTCATTCTATCGCAGGCCCCATCTTTGCTCCAGGGCTAAGTAGTGGTCAAGAAGTAAAAGGCTTTTTTTTAAATTCATTTACATAAAAAACCTTTTATGTCACCAGGGACTTCGTAATATTTGTCAAGTGCCCCAATGTTGGATCCGCAATGATCTTTAGGAGACTACTGGGGATGACACCAGCAGTGACGTAGCGTCCGTCGATTTTTGCTTCCCGGGGCCAACCGCCACATTTGCCGCCCCCTCCATTTTCACGGTTACACAAATAGTTCGTTCGGGCAGGGTCGGCTTGATTTTTTATTTTTTTTTCGCCTGCCGTCACCACCTTTGTGTTGTTCAGGATATCGTTTTCTCAAGTAGTGGAATTTATTTTCTAATTTTAAGTAAAAATAATTTCGACTAGTTACTAGTACCGCCGTCCCATTCTTGTGCCACTGGTTGACACGTTTTCTGTTCAGTAGCGACGTCTACTTTTTACGTATTACAAACCATGAAATTCTACTAAGTCTACGCGCATCCGTGAACAATGTTGACGCTCTGAAGCAACGTGGCAACCCTAATAGCGCTAATTTATATCTGTATAACCCAACCCAACCCAATTAAATCCAAAAATTTTGAGAGATTCTGGTTCTCCATTATTTGCGATTTTTACTACTTCTTCAATTATTTCAGTATGTGAACCATCCCCCCACAAGACAGTTTACATCCTGACACGAAATGCTGTTATTGTTAGCTGACTAAACATGGTGTTACTAAAAAATGGTTACGTACCTTCACTTTACAACAAGCGACGGGAGGCCCGACGTGTTCAGGGACGTGATCGCCCTGAACCGTTAGAGTCACCGGTGCAGTGCACTCTGTCTGCCCGTAACCTTCCACGATCTGGTCAGCAAACCATTTTTATCATTAACAGAGTCCCATTTTGGTGGTATGATACATCATACACAGTTTCTACCTTTATGGGTATTTTTGTTTTAATACCAAGTGACGGGACGAACATGTCGTGGGTCTGGTGGTAAGCGACACGCCTGTTCGTAACAGTTGCAGTGCCACTCAGAGCTTTAAACCGCTAAGATCGGAGGGGTACTGCCACTGCGCCCATCACTATCACATAAGTTGACAAATCGCATGTGCCTGTAAATTCGCAGCACATTATTGCTCGGCGGTAGAAATCGGTAATCCGCCAGTAAATATGAAGTAGCAGTCTACTTCATATTATTTATTAACTGAATAATTTGGCTGAAAACTTTGCATTTCATCTGTGACTATTTTTGGTACAGTACATTTATATCGGAACACCAATAAAAACCTCAAAATAACCCAGTATTTTTGTAAAACACTGGTCGGTTATTTTTCTTTTTTATTTTACAATTTTGTCGAATTTAAAATAAAAAAATAGTCGACTGACATTTTTTTCCAAATTCCTAGTTCACTTCGAGTGGTTCAAGGTTGACTTTGCGTTCTTGTAAATAAAAATTTTAACAATTTTTTCTTTTCGAGCCCTTTCCAGGTCCCGAAACTTTGATTTCTTTGACAAAACTCGCGATTTAAGTCCAGAATAAATATCCGGAATAGTTTCATTTCCTATATGTAACAAAGGCGAAAACCTAAGAACTCAATAATATCTTCTTTATAAAAAATGTAAAAAAAGGATATCGATTAATTTTGTTTTTTTTTTAACTAAAGGGTGAGTAAATGGATGTTAAGATGTTTATTTCTTTAAATATAAACGTTACAATTTCATATTAACAATTTTTTGCTCCTCTAAAGATGCCATTTGTGTGGTTAATGAGATGTGACAGCTTATGAAATTTAAAAATTAAATACTCAGCAAAACAAACTAAAGGGCAAATATTCTCTACATATCTCATAAAAAATATGACCAAACCATTTTCATAAATCTACATTTTACTAGTTAATTTCATTCAACGTTATACAAACACATAGCCTTCACGGTCTGGAAAACTTTCAATTCTGAATCTTATTTTATTTTAAATTTATAAACATCGATAAAGAAAATCTAATAAGTTACACCCAAATATCCAATCATCATAATCTACGGCAAAAGTTATAACACGCGATATTCATAAAACTTAAATTACAACTATAAAATTTGTTTTACATCTCCACAGCTGTAAAATCCACTAAACTGACGAACAAATTATACGTGAGATCAAAGACTTTCTTAGGGATCAAGGAAGTATAACACGTTTAACTTATTTTTAATAGTTTTTATGAAGAAGACTCATTTTCAACCGAATACATGATAAAATAGGTTGAAGATATTGTACGAGTATAATATAGAAACATCAATAAGGCCGTTACAATCCGATTGGTTCGAATATTAGTTTTCCTATATGCTGGAGACACGTGGACGCTGCGTGAAATTGAGAAGAAGAATAAAGATGTCCTGGAAATGTGGTGTTGGAGAAGAATGTTTGGGTATCATGGACATAGTTTCGTACAATCGTCTCCATACTCCATAAACTCAGCATCAAGCAGTGTCTGTCTATTCTGATACAAATTCGCATCTCGAAATTCTTCGGCCATGTCTCAATATGTAATGGTGACTCCGCAGAGTGTCTTATATATTATAGGTATAGTAGAGAGCACTAGATCAATAAAAAAACTGCAGTGGTCCTTTGCATGAGTGTACCAAGGAAACCACCAACAGAGAGCAATGACGAGATGTCGTGAGGCAAGTTATATTTACATACAAACGTACTCCGTGTTGACAACGGCCGCTATGTCAAGAGTGCTACTGAAACGAAGAAGATTACAGTAACTAAAACGTAACTTTCAGTTCGAGTTTCGTTGCTTTCGGTACTAATTTGATCTGATTTCACTACAAACATTACCTACAAACGCCGACGAAAATAAATATACACAACGAACTATCAAACAGGGTCGTCTCTAAATAAATAAACAACTGTATCTCGCACAATAATAAATTATACCATCGATAGTCGTAAACAAAGTTTAAGTCCAAAACCAACAATGCTTGATTTATAGACTGTGTGCTAATAAAATAGATATCGATATAGATGTAGAAATATTTAGCAGACATTATTATACGAAATGGCTTTCAAATGTTATGGGTGGAAATATACCAATTGCGAGTTTCGGTTGGATCTCAATATATTTGTAGTTCTTCGTAAATCTGGAATATTCCAGACAAAATTAGAAAATTAGTATGAAATATTTAATGCCGTATACAAAGGGACCGTAGTAGTCTCATCAAATTTCTGTCATAATTTCAAATTTGTATTGAATTGATATTCAATTATTTTTAAGTGAAATTACCCTACTATTTTGTTATAATTATTAATACTGTTCTACTGTTACTATTCTGTTTTATTATTACTATATTGGTTTTCTTCTCTTCGATAGATGCAAATAGTTTAATACGAAAAATTTGATGTCAACAGATTACTAAAATCATAACCTAACAGTAACACAGTTGCACATTATATGTGTCCCTGCACAGAAAAAACATACCCGGACTCTATCCTCGCATCGAACAACTTTGTAGTTGATAACTTGGCAACAATCCCTAAGCCTCTATGGCGGTTTACTTTACATCGTCGACTCAGCCACCCAAAGATTTAGGCCTTCCGGTACGCTACATATTTAAAAAGTTAATTAACGAATAAACCGCTACTCACCAGACATCCAAGAGCGCAGCGAGCAAAGGTAAGAACGTTTCCAGCAAGTGGTGCAGATCCGACGACCATGATGCGCAATCTACCGCCCATACCCTCGCGAACCTTTCGGAACACTAGCTTGTCCCATATTGAGTCTCCGCGAACAATTCCTCTGAAAGTATATATGTTCATTTTTATTACAATATAAATGCAGTTATCAGACTCATACATACCAAATGCGTAGTAACTTTGCGATCAGCTACTAAAATAAAGGTGTTCATCAAAGGCGTACAAGCGAACTAAGCGTATAAGCGAACTAAGAAGAACGCTAACTAAACAAAGGCATATCTAAAAATAGAATAGCCTAAACCTTGGCTCTCAGAATAAAGATTTCTCAAGAAATTTCTATACAAAAAACCCCACCGCATTAATACAGCAGGTTGCAAAGAAAACTAAGCACGCATCTGCAATTACTATAAAATTTTCCATGTTTATAATTCCAAATAAAAAAAATCTCTAACCTCTTCAATTCTGATTCCTTGGCGGAAAGTGCCATATTGAAGAGCAGTCTCTTTATCTTCGAACTGGAAATTTCGGACTGAGCCTTGTCATAGAGTCTATTTAAAAGACGCGGCACCGCTGGCATCATCGTTGGTTTCAAAGCCGTCAGATCATCAGCTAGTCTTCTGATATCTCCACTGTAGAAACCAACTGCTCCGCCTACCATGTAGAGAGCATTCTAAAAGCATAATTTCACATTTTACTTTACATCCTTCGGTAAAATCTAAGTAATTCTGAAAGGAACAAGGCCATCAAGAACATAACCAAAATTAACCTCTACAATTTAATAAATTGAAGTTACTAATCAATAAACGTTCTCACTTACTGGATTACAAAGCCTTACCTCACAACACCGCTCAAGCATGTGGGCTAGTGGTAGAAAGGAAATCATGACGTCATTCTTTGTAGGCCGATGTTCACCCAACTGCATAGTAACGCTGCACATAGAGGCTACCACATTCTCGTGCGTCAGCATCACGCCTTTTGGCATTCCAGTCGTGCCTGAGGTGTAGCAGATCGTGCAAATGCTTTCTGGTCTTGGAGGCTGCAATGTGAGAAAACATGTAAAATTATAATGGGTAAGGAATATTATTGCCCCGTCGCTGAAAGTGTTTCATAGAAAAATAAAAACCCGTTTTTTTGCAATTTCAATTGCAATTAGGTAAAAAGTAGTTGTTTGTAAAATAATTGTGATCTTAGAAAATGTAATGATCACCAATATCGTTTTAATTGGCATCAGTTCGTAAAATTCCTTTAACAAAAAACCTTTAGATTTATCATCTAACAATATAATAAATAATCAACTTACAACACAAGGATGATCCTTTTGTGCTCCTTGAATTTCTACGTCGGTGAACTTGAGTATTTCGACGCCGCGACTTTTGGCCCTTTGATGCGTCGACGGGGACACTTCCTTGATCGTGATCAACTTCCTCAAACATCGTGGAGATTGATCGAGCAACAGGTTTGCTTTCTTGTCATCTTCACATACAACCACTGACATTTCAGCTGAAAATTATTGAAATTGTTTAAAAAAACCGGTTTAGAAACAGAAGTCCCAAAGAAGAAAAATGTAGAGACTCAATAAATTAAAAACAAAATTAATTATTTTTTTTAACAAATAAAATTTGAGCGATTGTTGTAAATAGTAGAATAAGTATAATGAAAAGAATCAAATGAAATTGAACACAAGACAAATCCAATCAGGTAATGTTGAAGATATTCGATTTAGTACAAGTTGAGGTAAATCGAGACTTAAACTCACTTTGATTAACAATGAAGGCACATGCATTGGCTCCTAATGTGTCGTACAATGGTACAATGACCATTGAATAACAGTAGGCGGCTTGTTCTGTCATTATCCATTCGGGACAATTTTGTGAATAAATACCTGAAAACGATGACAAAGACGTGTTTAAAAGAAATGTTTCAAATTAAGTACTTCAATAAATATTTAAAGATAATTATCGGGGAACATACAAAATAAACATTGGGTCGTAGATGTATGCCGATAAAGCATGTAATCATGACATTTATACACAATGTATGACAATTTTACTCACCCACGAAAGTGTTTTGACCAGGTACAAGGCCTTGGCATATAAGTCCGGAACCGAAGTTTTTAGCTCGGAGCAGTGTCTCGTTGTAGTTCTGCCATACGTAGGGCTTGTTTGGTCCCTCGCGCCACCCGAGACAGTTGCCATTATCTGAAAGCGTAATAACAGTAATTAAAAATTTCATACATAAATTAAACGTTTTGCAAAATCAATTTGCCACATAATCTTAAGAAACAAAATGGCAGGATAGTCCAGAACTTTTGGGTCTTGTTTTTATTTCCAATAACTTCGCAAAAACATTAACTAAAAGATCTGACTACCACTAGTAGCATAAATTGAGTGTAACTGTGTTCCATAAACCTGTTGGTGCTATTAGCAATGTTTTGTAATACGCAGGTATTATCGTATTTATCGCTAACGAGCGGAAATGTGGAAGGAAATGGGGTGGGTCTAGAAATGTGCCTTGGGGCACTCCCACCTCGTTGCACTTGAAAATATTTTCTGAGTAATTCGACCCCTTTTATTTATTTTATGTTATGTACAAATGTACCAAATAGGAGTATATGAATGTAAAAAGTGATGAGCCAATATGAAGTAACTATGAATGAATCTGTTCTTTAATTAATAGAAATCATTTAAGTGAATGGAATGCCGTAATTGTACTCACTAGATTCTCTGACTCCTCTGCGGAAAGTTTCGTAAAGTGTTCGAGTGTCCTCGTGAAGATACCGAAGATATTTGCCATTTTTAGCGTCTTTATAAAATTTGGACACGCGAACCATCTCAGGCCCCTGAAAACGAAACAAATAAAATCAAGTTACAGAATTGCAAATTTTTGTACTGAGTAACATGTAGGTAGGTAATACCATTTTTGGGTCACCGTACATATTGAAACCTTTTAAGGCACGGGAAGCTAATCAGTTCTAATTGTATTATACCCAGTGTCGTATTCACATTGTCTATACAAACTGAACAACTAAAGTAATATTTAGTTTGACATAAAAACATTGCAAATATGCAGAAACAAAAGTGTTTTGAAACTATGGCAACAGAACGGAGCCTTCAAAGTAACGTAAAGTCACTAAAATCATATGCAAATAACTCTTCCGTTAACCTAATGACATATTTGTCCTACTAACTCCGAAACTTGAAGCATGAAGCACTCTTACACACTACGGTATATTATTATAGTCTGGCATAATGATAAATGGAACAAAGAACGGGTCAAAGTCACTAGTGGGAAACTAACAATGTTTCGCCAAATTGACATAGCATGAAGTGTTATGTCATTAAGATAATGGTCAGAACAAACGATGTAATTGTAGGTTATGGAGTCATTCAACTGTGAATACATAGTTGTTTAGTTGATCCTTTGGATAAATGAATGAGTGAATGAACTACTTGGTCTGAGACTGATAAAACGAACGTTGGTTTCATTTATGCGAAATTGGTGAGCTGCCTAAGTTTAAGAAACAAATTATGAAGGAAACTCAAAGTTTGCCTAACTTCAAGACTTGCTTAGCTCGCCATTTTTGCTTAGTCGAAGTCAAAGTTAGTTTTATAAATCTCAACCTTACACTGCGTAATATTATCTCCAATTAACAATATTGCGGTAGACATAGACGTAAGAGAGCAAAAAAACGTCAACAAAGTAATAGTAACATCCGTTATGAAAATACTCGCACGCTGTTTTATAAAATGTCGTATCTGATTTAGATGACGAAAAACAACTTACGAAAGCATCGTGTCACATGATCTTGAATTTTAGTAACAAGGTTAATAGGAAATGTGGTCAGTGTAGCGACACGAAGCAGAAATATGTAGCCGCCATGTAAGCGCGTATTTATAGCGTACCTTTCTGACATATACATTAATTTGGCTGTTCTATTTCTGTTTTCACTAGATACCAGAATATAAAGAATAGATTGTGTAAATTTGACTTAGCAGATTTTAATATGAGTGTTTTCTATAATCGAGAAAAATTAATTTGCTTTCTTTGCCAAATTTAAAAATCATTTCGGTCAGTCGCATTTTTTAAGGCTAAACATTTTCTTTTGTACACTTCATAGTAGGGTTTTTAGTCTCATTACATTTCCGCGTCCCGGAAAAAAAAGACTTGGTGCGATCTTGGAAATCCCGGGTAAAACGAAACTTTCGAGACTATTCCAAAAGTAGGTTTCCATCCTTATAGGTTAGATATTGAGGCAATTAAAACATAACATTTTAATCAAGTCTTTTATTAACTTACAAAAAATAACTGTGATTGTTAATTTTTATAGTGGGTACGCAACAACAAGGGGCGTTTAATATCGGTTCTTCAATCTCCACAGATTAAGTTCCACTCCGCATTACAACTTCCATGTGACTAGAATAAAAAATACTGTCAGTTTAGTAGATTTTTTAACACTGTTTAATTAACTACCTCCAAGTCCGAACGGTTGCCATACTCGACTGTCACGCAGAGGCCCTGACTTGGATTCCCGGACCGGGAAAAATATTTGTATGGCTTACATTTCTTTGTCTCGTGTGTTGGGTGTAATATGTGATTGTCTATATGTGTGTCCATGGCACCCGCTATGCAAGGTTTCCCTAGTGTAGGGCTATAAGTGTGTGCGTTATAAAAAGTTATAAAAGTGATTTAAAACTCAAAAGTCTCGACATTTACGAAAATAACAAAAAAATGTCGAGATTCGAAGTTTTCGGGACTGAAATTCCCGGTATGAAAGCTCTAGTTCATAGCAATGTACATTATATTACTTAATATTAATAGCCATAATAATATAATAAAAAGTTAATGTACAAGTGCTTCCGTTCATAAACATGCGTTGACTAACACTCATTAAGAAGGAGGCTACTTCTATAGACCTGTTAGCTAATTAATCTCAAGAAAGCTTCAAGAGGGTTTCTTGGTAATACGCAATAACTAAAAATATGGTGTCTTTGAGACACTTGACATTGTAGACACATTTAGCCAGTCACTATTTCCGCATACCCGATCTTGAGCTCTTCCAAAATATTATACGCTATGTTGTGATAAAGCAGCGAATGGTAAGCAATAACCTGTAGTAAAATCATCTCCAAATAGATGTTATTGTCACCTACTCACTCATCAAAACAACTTTGTTGCACAAGCTAATCAGGAATGCATTACATTGGCAGCGTTCGGATATATCACACCAACTATCGATCATACTCGTATGTTTATTTTGTTTAATAAAGGACTAGACATTAAAAACACAAACGATCATAGATAAATAAACATTCACGATCATGGGATATTTTGAATCGTAATTGCTTGTATACGTAATGGTGATGATTGTAATGATATAGTGGAGACGTTGAAAGCTAATACTAAATTACAACTAAACAAAGACACGTGCTACTCATCAGAGAATATGAGTGATGCGGAAATTTGGCAAATTTTCAGAAAATGTCACGGGACATTGCTTACACAGGGCTACTGCACTTTTGTTACGTAAATAACATTACGTTGATTTATCGTATGTATTAATATAGATAAGAAATAATTCGAAAAAGTTTATGACAAGTAGAATTCATTTACGAAGACGAAGAACGACAATGTCTTTGACACTACCTTAATTGAATAAAGCAAAACTAGTCATGAGAGAGGAAACAGTTAGGGGACAGAGTGACTGAAAAGTGGAACACCCATAATAAACCAATAAATAGCTTCGACATTCGTTTTCGACCTCACAATCAAGTATTAACTACCGTCACGTGAACGCTAACTAACAAATGCATTCTGTAAACCGGTGACACCAAAATATTGACATATACAAATTGTGAAATTATTCAAGACAAGTAAATAAAGACCACATCGTTAACTCGACTGTATTTTATATTTGGGCTTTAAGGTCAATAAACCGAAAATTTAATTCAATTAAACAATCATTATTTGGAACAAAATTCATAAAGTTCAATAGACCTACAAACAAATGGATATTTTGGTACAGCTATTTGGAATTCGTATAGCCTATGGTCACGCGATTACGATAGTTAATATTACGATCTATTATTATTTTGTAAGTGGATGAAAAGCATGCTTTCAGAATCATCCTCGTATACTGAAAAGAAATCAAAAGAGTTTCTTAAAATAACAACGCCGCGTGTTGTAATCCCTCAAATATACACAACATTTTGAATTTTGTCATGTGATTCATTTCACACAGTTTGCCAAAACTTTTTAGATGCCATAGGATAAATATGTTCTGGCCTCCCATTTCAAATTTATTCAGCATTAAATCATTAAACTGTCGCAACCCCTAAAACAAAAATTTGATATATAATAATTTGCCCTAAATCAACAGATCATTTTATTTAGAATTTTCTGTTACTATTGTTAAAATGTGACATCTATAATGAATGCGTTGTTTCCGGACCGTGGAGTAATTACTCTAGTAAAAAAGCAATAGCTGCAACGTGTTTAGTGTTTTATTTAATTATTTCACTTTTGCCGTGTATAAAATATTATGTCAACATTGTAGAATAAGGTTTACAATAAACGCTAACCTAGTACAAAACAAAGACGTCTTGCTAATTTAAGGTAAAATGTTTTTGGATCGATAAGATAAAACTTTCTAGAGTTTGATTCTATTTCCCATCGGCCACATTTATCTTCGACAATGGGTTTCTCAATGTTCTGAATCTAATTGTAAACTTTGCCAACAGCCGAACAATGTGTTTAACTGTTGACTATCCCTCTACCTTTAATGACATTGGTTTACATTTGGCAAAATCACGTTGCATTTCTTACGCAATGTAAACATTGGCTTAGAGATTGTCCGTGCATAAATTAATTTAAATCACCGCCATTGAAAATTAATTACAATTACAGGAGTTGAAATGACTTATTTCAAATGGAACCAATTATTTTGCACGGTACAATTTAAAAAGGTTTGATGAAATCAAAATTGTTAAACTTGATTGCTTGTGCAATACGCACAAGCAATCAAGTTTAATAATTTTCTAAAAAGTTCTTACGACCCTGAACGCAGTCTCATCATTGATGGTTATTTTACGACACCAAGCTGAGGTACTCACTTTAAGGGCCTCTGATTGTTCGTTCAAGTTTATCGGAGGACGTATCGGAGTGACTCCGATGCAGCAATTACAGCAGGTCATGTTCACTAAGTTTTAATATCACTACAAAATGCACTATTTCAGATTACTCTTAATAATGCGGTGATGCATTGCACAATGATCATTCTTTTAGCTAAGTCGAGTCTTTTCACTTTTCGCGTCACGTGAACGGAGCCTTCGTTAGTTTCGATTATTTCGAATGTTCTTGACTTAGGTATGATTTGTGACACGTAGGCAGCCAAGTTCGAGAGACTCGTCACTTTCGCTAGAGACGTTTGGGAACTGACAGGAGAGCTGCGAGCAGGGCTGCTAGTGGTACAATGAGTTAAAAATACCGCTCGAAGATGCGCTCTGCCAACTCTAGAGCGGCGGCAATGTGGATTTGGGCAACTTGATCTTTGATACGTCGATATAAAGGAGTTCGCTTTCGTCATATTTGTTTCAATTTTATTTCAGTTCACACACAATGTCATAATAGTAATAATCATAATATACTCCGTCAACATTCGACCCAAATATCTAATATACGTACAACACATAAATGCATTGATTTTATTACGGTAATCTCCATTTATATTAAGCCATAGTTTTGTAATACCGAATTGAAAGTGGTATCTAAAAACATGTGCTTGTGTACATGCCTATAATTAGAAATAGGAATCCCAAAGACAATGTCATTTGTGAAAGCAACAACCTTTTAAAGTTCATAGAAGTTTCTTAAGACCTAATTTATTCATATTATCGTTCGACAACTGTTTCGATAAGTAATAGATGTTATCGGTTGTAAACACCAAAATATCAGGTAACTCTTAGGTTTATATTAAAATCTGATTAATATACCACTGTCGAATTATGTTCTTGACTGTGAATATACTATAAGTCCCTTACTTACCTATTTACTTATTAGGTTCATTCCATTGACCTACCAAGTTCATTCATTGTCGCGTCTGGCTTATCAATTAGCAATCTGTATTGCTGTTTTTGAATAGATGTCTAGTTAATGATTCGTCACATTGTTTGCGCGCATTTCACAATAACTCACACATTTAGAATTAACTTCAACTTTCCGGGAATTTGGAAATGAAACTATTTTTTCGGGTCTAAATCGCATATATTCGTTTTTTCAAACAAACTAACGTTTCGAGCCATTTACAGGTCCCATGATCGCGACTGACATTTCTGGAAATTTACAAAATCCACTATCACGTCACGTTTTGTGTAGCAAAATATTACTCGCCCAGAAATAATATCAAGAAACATCATGAGATTTTATAGATAGATAATAATGCAAGATGTTGGATCAATAAATGTGTTAAAAAACCAAACGTTACAGAATGATTTAACCACAATGGCATCTGAAAACTTACCGCTTCAAGAAGACTCTGCTCATGGAGTGTGACCAGTGGCTTCTCGGGCTTGGGCCTGGTGCTGAGGTAGAAGGCAGATGCCGCGGCGACACCAGTCAGCGCCAATGCACCCGCGGAACCTCCGACCATCCATAGGTACTGATCAATTTCGCTCACTGATGGCAATAGAAAGACGAATATTTGATAAGGGCAATAATATTAAATGAAATAGATTTATGCTCACAATACTAAACTCTAATGTCTAATGGCATTAAGTCCGCCATTTGTACAGTTTTGTGTGCAATTAAGTTTAATAAATAAATAAATAAATAAACCAACAAACGGATTAAATATCACATCTCACATAGTAAACATTCAGTTGTATATTAACATATAAATGTATGTACTTAAACATAAAGATGGAATAAACTGATCTGTGTAAAAATAAACGTTTCAACATTATAACGCGCCTAAAATAAATACCAAAGCTGACATTAACACTACTTACTAAAGCTTTAAATAACATACAATTTTAATCCTTTCACTATAAGACAGACAAAGTGGGCAACAAAATTACTAATTATACCTGACAGTAACTCGAATGACAATTTACTGAGTCATATTTACACACTGCCTGATTAATAGCTCGTTAAAAGCAAACCAAGCAATGTGATTATAACGGGTCTTTTAAATTTTGATCAAAGTATTTGTTCGTAAGAGTATTTACGATAGTGAACAGGAAATGTTCTTAAATTTCCTAGGTAAGAGAATGCTGAAAATTTTCGTATTAATTTGCATCTTAGCACTAGCTCATGTTCTCGTAAAAAAATATTTCTTTGTAATTGGAAAAAAGGTTGGTTTACCAGTTCCTAACCATTGTATTTCTCTAAATAAGGAAATATCAAAACGACAACTTTCATGCGGCCAAGTGACTAGTTCCTGAACTATAAACTGCACGCTGCAGCTAGTTTAGAAAGTGGAAACTGTGGGGCGCGTGCGCCGACAGACGTTCACATTAGCGCATAGATTTCTCGGGATTCTCTCGCGCTTTCCACTGACACACTTTTACGTCTATGTTTACTGTGTTTCTGCCTACTGAGAATATACAAGTGCACATAACACATAGACAGATATTATAGACTTTGATGTTGTCTTTTAATAGAGTTGTAAACACAATGATCTTGACTGTATTAGAATGTAGGTCAAACAACTCAAAACTTGAATGAAATTAGGGACAGGGCAATCTGAGTCGCAAAAGTCAATGTCGAAACCAACTCATTAGAAGGGCTCGTATAAGTAGTATGAAGGTAACGTTTAAGGTCGGTTTGCCCTCGATACCTTGACGATTGTGCGGGAGGTACTTGATTTCAAAAGTTAGAACCTTGATGCTCAAATTTCCCTTCATTGTAGATTCATAAAGCGTAACGGCCCTTAAAGGCCCGCCTACTTTTACAATAATAGAAACGGCTCACTTTAATAATAGTATTATTATTAGAAGCCTATAAGCAAACAAGTCAAGCTCGTATTAAAGTCAGTATCGGCTTATAACGATGGCGTTAATAATTCACTTTTCAATCGGACAAAGTACAGAACCCTACGATATTGAAGTTTAGGTACATAATTACTAGCTTCACATGTTACTTCTAGACCAAGTAATTCGTTTTAAATTGGTTATTGATCGGTCCATTTGAAAAAGAATATTAATGACCTGGCTTATAAATTGTTATATTTTGAGTTTCACCGATTACTTACAGCTATTGCATTGATTCCACCAAATCGTTTTCTCCTTGTCGTTAGCTTCAGTCTTCTGTTTTTCAGTCTTCTTCAATTTCTTCTGAATTTTGCGACATTTTTCCTTAATACTGAACTCAGTTTTAGCACTTTCCACATTCCCTTTGTCCTTCTTAATACTAAAACCAAACCTTCCGCTGCCCATTTTATTGTTTTTGCACATGACGTTTAATATTGAATTATCGTCGATGCATTACCATTTTCTTTGTTGTTATATTTCTAGACCACTACACGTGAATTGGTCAAAACGTTCAAACTTCTCTAATTACGGCCGACATCGGATTGTCGTAAAGATGTTCGATATCGAATTAAACTATAACGGAATGAATTGAAATTCATAAGGCTATAAGGTTTTATGGAGTTATCTTGTAAAGATTGGCCTTGTCAGTTCATTAACACGATTGTAATCCATATCTATAGTAATCCAGCTGCTGATAACTGTGTGGTCAGTGAACCGAAATTTTAGAAATAAACCAAAGTCCTGGCAAATTCTGATAATTCCAATAGTTCACTAAAAAATAACTTATTTTTGTTGATAACAAAGGACAAAGAACCTTTTAAAGGAACTTTATTCGCTTTTTTATTTTAGACACAATTGTTCTTATACTAGCTAATATAATAAATACTCGTATATGCAAGTGAATCATTTCTTCGTGAATAATTTAATTTTGCGAGTTGAACGATAAAGTACTTATTTATTTAGTACTTTGTTATTATTCCGGATTTCCACAACATATAGGTATGTATATCTATATACATATTTCTATAATGCTGTTGGCAGACGTGTCCAGGGCTTTCTGAGCCATTATCCCGACCCTCGGCACGGTCACAACAGCTGGCAATATTTAGCCATCTGATTCATATTTACAAAACAGTATGCTTATATCATATCCCGTAACTGTTATTGATAACAACAGCTTAGCATATTCCAACTGTTGTTGGTAAGATGGAGGCTTTAGTGTTTAAAATTAATATAGTAGGTATTTCATTATTAGTGTCAGAATAAGATGCTTGGAATTAGAGTTCGGTGGATCCAAGTATAATTGTGTAGTCAACGTTTGTCCGTCCGTAAGTCTATCAGTATGTTTCAGCCCTTTTACTAGCTCGTTAAGGTAATGAAATTTGGTGGGAAGTGCATTAATGACCCAAAAACAGAAATGAAAAAAATTTATACGCTCGATGACGATGACAAAGTGGAGTATCGGTATGTAGGTGAATCGAAAATATTATTGAAACCACGTACGGTAAACGCTCCGAGTCAGTTGTGAGATATGTATGGCCAGAGTTGTTGTTAGTACGGTCGACACTTTCTAGACTGCATTTTTCCATTGAGATATATAAGAGAATAATGTATCGATGTACGCTTATCGATATTGTTTTAATATTTATCACATATTATTTAAAAAAATTACGTGTCTTCTTGTACTACAATGATATTTATATTCTTTAAAATCTGTATGTTTTAGTCATTGACTTACAAATAAATGGACGACGGGTCTAATACAAAAACCACGAAAAAAAGTCCCAAGTCAACCTATTTAAACGTAGTGACATGTAAAGGAGTATGAAAAAGCTAAAACGTTGAATTTAAATTGTAATGTCATCGCAGTACTGTCTAATTTTGCTTGCTTCGCTGTCAGAAGAAACAAACGAAGACTAAAGCGTGAATGACGCTCTGTATACGATTTTAACGCCCTATAAGTTGGGACACTTTTTAGCGCGGACCCGACGTCCATATAATTGTAAGTCAATGGTTTTAGTATACAAAACCTATAAAGGTGAAATTACCTAGTTCTAGTTGCAAATATAAAACAAAGTTTCTATATTTCTTTTAATATTCACGGTAAAGCACACGTTGTGGAACCAAGGTTATTCACGTGCAGAACTTATATCGACATTAGTAAATGGAGATGGCCATTTCTGACACATCAACATATCAAATATACCAATAAACACATTTGTTGACATTACACCTGTGCGGTCAAGTCGCTGACATCAATGACATTGACAGCTAATCAAAAGAACACACACCCGCTTTCTGTCACTGGTTTGGTAATCCATCAATCGGCCAGCTTAATAATACCATTTCCTTTATTTTAAGAATTATAATTTATTTATTTAATTTTTTAGGGCTAACAAACCAATCATCACTAAAAACTCCGATTATGAACCATTGTTACGAAACAAAAACCTCGCAACTATTCATACTTTAAAAATTTAATGTGTGTGTGAATATGTGTTTGTTAGGGAGTGCGTGACCCACACACGTGCGTGAGTACGTGTGTACGTGTTTATCCTGAAAATATCACATTTTGGACAAATCGACTTCATCTCTACTCTTCAAATTTAGATTCCGATTCACATACAGATTCAACAATGGTTTCCGATTAACGTCTTCATCATTTATCTTTATGACCCAGTATCGTGATATAAAAGGATACAATCTCACATTTAAAATGATATTTTATTTATATCACAAAGTTAAACGACCTGAGAAATATACTTACGTACGCAATCGATTGAGGCTCAACCTTTATCATGAAATGAAATCCTTATTTTCCATTTCAAGTAAATTGGCAGCTACAAAGATAATGTAAGTAATATTACACATTAATTTTTAGTGTTTTTGTTTTTATTCGTTGTACAGTTTGTCTCAGACTTAAAATATCGTTTTAAACGGGCTCGATATCATATTCATATTGCGTGTAGGCGGATTCAGAACAAACAAGTACGGCAGACTCCCTAAAAAAAACTACTAGAATAGTACTATAATACTCTAGTCCAGTGTATCAGTTCGTATCAATTTTAGTCTTATTTTTTTAATGGTTTCAAACAATAGACTAGACAGGGGACATCGGATTGTAGTGTAGGTTCTTTTAATGTGTGCCTTGTATCTATGTTGCGATGTTCTCGAATTTTTTTAGATATTTTATTGTCATATATATATATATATATATATATGAGTATGTGTGTGTGTGTTATTACATTTTTAGTGTATTCTTTATACATTATGGACTATGGCAGAATATCACATTTAATTTCAAATGTGAACAATTTCTGACAATCAATTCGACTTTTCTCACCTCAGTCACAATTGGACAGAAAACCATTACCTTCCCTAACAGTTATTAACGGTAAACTCATGGCAAGTTAACCCGGATTATGGAACATTTCCGTCGTTTACTGCTCATTACTTGTTTCATTATGAAGCATAACTCTATTAAGTGATATAAATGTCAACACGTAGATATAATAATATTAGTGTTGTAAAATTCGTATACCTAAATAGAAAGATATAATCTTATATTACAATCTATGACTGCACCGTTATTGTATAACAACTTTTTATAAAAAAAGACCAAAAAACTTTGTGGAATTACATCTTTTTTTTATAACATCTAGTGACGGGACGAACAAGGCGTGCGCCTGATGGTAAGCTAAACGCCTGTCCATAATAATTGCTGTGCCACTCAGAGCTTTAAATCGTAAAGATCTGAGAGGCACTGCCATTGCGGCCATCACCTTGAGACGTAAGCTGACAAGTTCCATGTGCCTGTAATTTCACCAGCACCTTTTCCCTTCCAAACCAGAACACAGTAATGCCGACATTACTACTTGGCGGCAGAAATAGGTAAGGCGGAAGTACTTCCCTGAAGGAACCCTATCACAAGGAGCTCTACTGCTACTAAATTTACCTAATCAACAACTATTTGCCAAGTTTTATTAAAATAGGTTAACGGAAAGGGGGTGAAATTCAACAAAACCGGATTCACCTCCTAATTTGCCACTTTAGAGTAGAATAGAATAGAAAAGAATTATTTATTTCGGTCCATGATCCAAAATAATGTTAGTAATACAGTTTTTTTTTTAATTCTAATGAAATGCAACGTCTAGACCACTACCCTACACACGTGTAGTTGCACCCAATGCAGGTGGTAGGGGCAGTCCAGTCTGTTGGCAACAACGGCTAGGATGCTATTAGCGCCGCCGTGCACATGCATCATGAGTGAAGCAGCTTTCTTGCGCAAAATGGCATGAAAGCCATCTGTGTGCGCCTACGTGAACATGATGCACTAGTGTCGCGGCAGCCCCATTAGCTTTAAGAGGTGAAATATTTTTTTCAAATTTGAATGGTACCACTACTGAGGTACCCACTTTTTAACAAAAAAGAATCATCGAAATGGGTTCATAAACGTCGAAGAAATCGCCTAACATACACACACAAAAACAAATGCAAATTGTGGATGAGACTCGCACTAAGCCGATTGAGCAGGCGTGCAAAAGAGGAGGCCTATACCCAGCAGTGGGTGTCAACGGGCTGAGATGATGATGACGATGAATAGCTATATAAGTGACGGAATAATACGTACCTGCGTATGTCTAGTCAGACAAACGATAACACTTATCGAACACGTAATCTATTGTCATAGTCTAAAACTAAATATTTCAAGAATGATTAAATCCACCTATTATCCGCAATCCGCATATTCTTTATTGAAATGTTTATCAATATGGAGACGATAGTGTTTCGCCAATTGATTCATATTCGTTATCTGCAAGTCACGTGACTCTAAAATTGGTCGTTGACTTTCTAAAATAGTGGCCTAACTCAAAATCATTTAAATCATCAGGAAAATGGTTTGAAAGAAACTGAAACGTGTCTGCCGCGCAAAATTGACAAATCGTAGACCACCCCAAAGTTGTGATGTTATTTATTCTATCCAATAAAAAGCTTGGAATCCCATTTATAATAAAATTTAGAATTAATTTACTTTTATATCCCCAATCCAACTCCAAATTCTTTCACAATTCTTTTACCGTAAGTGCAGCTCGTATGTGGAATAAACTACCTGCTAACTTCATGACAGTCCATCGGTGGCATCTTTCAAACACAAATTAAAAGAGCACTCCCTTGTCGAACGCGTTAGATAGTTTATAGGTTACATATTTGTAAACAAATAATCTGTTATTATAATATATATTCTGCTTATGTATGTCTTTATGTATATAAAGTTCATGTATGTGTGTATGTCTGTCGCATGTATATTATTATCATTTATATTTTATTCACATTTAAATTTAAATTTTGTTGTACAATAATTAGTCCCGCAGACTTCATTTTTGCACCACGGCTAGGGTTGGCTGGAAGAGATCTCTTATAGAGATAAGCTCACCTTTGTATATGTCCATTGTAACGTGTGTTTCATGTGTATTTTCTTTGTACAAT